ATCTGCGGGCACCTTCTGAATTTTATATACTCAAGCAACGATGCAAAGACATAAGACAGAGTTGTGCTTTTTGTTTATGTGTTTTTCCCCTGCCCGTTGTTTTACTTATATTCCCATTCTCTCTGTGGTTAGTTGGAAAACGCCTTAAGTTTCTTGCTGCGGAAGGATGAGCAATGCACTTATGCGTCATGCTTCTACGTGTACATCTTTGACTATTATTACTATTATTACCATTATTTTGTGTTTTGTTTTTATGGGGTGGGGGGAGTGTCTTCTTCATTGTGTCTGCTCTTTGCGCCTCATCCTCACTGTGTACTGTGTGTCTGCTCTTTACGCCTCACCCTCACTGTGTACCGTGTGTCTGCAGATGAGTGACATGGAATATATGTTTGAATATTTGTAGATTTATCACCTCTCGTATATACGTGTGGATACTCACGCGATGGCTGTGTTTTCATCTCTAACCAGATCCCTCATTAGTTGCCATGCCGGTAGGCGTGGGGTGCGTTGAGGTTTACCGCAACGCAGTGAGCAGCCGTGACGAGGATGTCATCTGGGACGAGCTTAATCTTGTGCTGGAACGGGAGGGACAGAAGGTGCTTTCAGAGCGCTCAACCCCGCAGAACAAGACCGTGAATCACACGTATCTTGAGATGCACGGCGACCAGAATTTTACAGAGGTAAAGAGCTGGCAAGGGAAAGAGATTCGGCGGCTTCCAGGGCTTGTGTGGTCGCCGACGTTCATGACGTGGCTGCGAGACGTTGCCCCGAGTCTGCTGGGATTTATGCCCGATACTGCACGCGTGGCTGAGCACAATTTACCTGATTACGAGATGTACATCGAACACCCCACGGTGGGTTGCTGCTTCCTGTACGTCTCCCTCCTGTCGGACGCGGTGCTGTTGTTTGATGATGAGGCGACGGGTCGCGGTGGGCAGGTTTTTCTTCCGCAACGGTCCTTGATGCGCTGCTTGGGCGAGGCTAGGTGGGGGTGACGATTTGGCGAACAGCCTAACGCCACACACACGTTTATCAGTAATGCTGGTGTCCGGCGTGTGGTGGAGCCGGAACTGCGACTTAGCGTGCAGTTGTGGAAGTTCACGCCACAGCTGCTGGATGCGAGGCTGCTTCAGGACAGGGTGGAGGAGTCCTTCCGGCACCTTGAAGAGAGAGAAAAGAGCCGAAGTGGTGTAGAGCAGGCGGAGGAGGTCTGTGCGTCCCCGCAAGTTGATTTTAATGCGGTATCCGGTGAGCAAACCACCGGTGGGGGCCTTCTAGGCGGCGATTACGTGGTGGGGCCGTCCCCTCAGCCGGGAGGTGGCGCAAAGGTCACGATGTACAAGATTGAAAAAGACTACGGTAGCTACAAACATAAATTTCAGCACGTCCATGGGGTACTTCAAGAGGTGAAGGTGTTGCAGGACGCCGGGCAACACATTAATGACATGTGGTTGAAGCGAAAGGTTCTAGAAAATCAGGGAAACACTGAGCACGACAAGAGTAACAGCTTTGATGCCGAGGATGTGGAAGGCACATGGGGTCGGGTGGACGCACGGGCACACTCCTACAAAGCACGGCTTAAGGGCATGGACTACGACGGTAGCGCCAACCTCAGCAGTGCGCTGCCAGACGTGACGGAGGACGCGCCGCTTGATATGAAGAAGACAATACGGAAGATTGCCCCGCTTGTGAAGGATGGAGAAAAGATACTTGCGAGTTTTCCTGGTGCACCGTAAGCGAGCAAGCGGGTGACAGAGGAGGAAGGAGGGGAAGGAAGGGACGAAGAATATGTTGTGGTTTGATATATATATATATATATTGATTTGACGTTTCTCGTAGGACGGATGTGGTGGGTAATGTAATTACCGTCTTTTGCGTACTACTCTCTTTGCCCCTTTCTATTCTGCATCTTTGGTTCTCATAGTCACTTTGTTATCATTAGTATTACCTTCGTTGATGTTCGTGTTGTTTCCGTAGCCGCTGCATAGTTTTGCGGATGAGGAGACGGATGCATCGGTGGGGCTGCAGCGCCAGGACGCTTTGCGTTCCTCTTCTGATATTGTTGCTGATGACACTCGTGATTTGTCTGAATTTTATGCGATTTGTGCAGGGCTCCTTCCGTGGGGTGCATTCCGCAAAGGTGCAACCGTATGAAGAGAGAAGGTGGGAGCAGCAGACTCCGTTGGAGGCTGCGTTTGCTGTCAAGACCCAAAGTATTCTTAGCGGTGGTCGTCTTGTTGGTGAAGAGCTTGATGTTCACCTCTTTGTTCTTTGGCATCGCGCATATCCACAACGGCTGGTGATATTAAAAGACATTCGTGAGAGTTTTCTTGTGCTTGACCTGGCCGAGTTCGATTGGGGAGATATAACGATGGGGTCCAACAGATTTCTCTCAAATCTTTGGGTGCTGTACAATGGCAAGGGTGGGTGGAAGCGGGAGGGGATGTGGAGGAAGGTACAACAATGCGGTTATGGAAAATTCATCGCTCTTGTTGTTGCTGACATGCACCCCCGCTACGTGCAGAAACCTACCGCGCACGGCCCCGATACCGTCAATCTAATGATGCACATCAAGAAGGAGTTGTATAGAAAATGGACAGGTGGCGGCTTCAAAGTGCATGGGACCTTCTCCACGCATGAGGCTAACCATGACATCCGCGTGTTGTTCCACACCACCGTTGAGGGGGTCCTTGAGCGCGCCATGGAGAAACGGGCCTACCCCAGAGACGTCGTGTCCGCATTCTTGGACGATCCTGCCTTCTTCGCTACGACGCGCGAGGCGTATGGGGTTACCGACGTAAACAGCAAAGATAACAATGATAAAACTGAAGGGAAGGTAGAACAGAGCCGCCAGCAAGGCTGGCGGTGTGCTTCGTTTCTTTTTGCACTTGGGTCGCTGACGCAGGTGACGGTAGCGGATGGACGAACAGGGGTTCTGCTTTGGTCGAAGCGCAGCTCGCCTTCCGGGACGCCGCTTGCGGTAGAGGTGGTGACACATGTTGCGTGTGCCGCGTGGCCCGACACGTTAGAGCTCCGCGCGCCCTTGTCAGAGATGTGGGGGGCTGTGGCACTGCTGCGTGCCTCACCAGTCAATTTGGTAGGGGTGACGTTGCGCAGTGCCTTCGCTGTTGAGCTGGAGGGATCTACTCGAGTGCTTCATCTAAAAAGTTTCAGCTGATTGTTTCCCATCTTTTATTGCGCCTGTAACGCCCCCCTCATTTTCTGTGTACTTACGCATTTATGTTCTTGCGGGAACGGCTTCCTCTGACGATGGTGATTGTGGCTGGGCGTTGATGACTCACTTTGCCATTGGATTTCTTTCGTTGGGTAAATGCGTGTGGTTTCAAGAGGTTGTATATATATATATATATATATGCGTTGCTTTACTTTTTCCCTTTTTGTTTATTGAGGGTTGTGCGCGAAGGGAGTCGTAGCGTTGCTTCGGGATGAGCTGGTGCACGGCGGCGGAGGTGGCGGACCTGATACGCGTCAGCAGACTACATCATGGTGTTGCAGAGGCTGAACGTAAAGCGGCGGATTTGCGTCTCACTGAACTTCATGCATCAGCAGTGAACTTTGGGGACGCTTTGGTGGAGGTGGCGGTTGCATCTGGCGCGCTTTCATGCAGTGTGCGGCTGGCGGCAGCGCTGACGCTGGAGTCATTCGTGACGGAGCGGGCGTGGTGTGAGGGCGTCGGGTTTAGCGACAAAGAGCGTGTTCTTGCTACACTTTTGGCGTGTTTGCGCGATGTTTCACTTGCCACGGCTGTGGCTGACGTGCGGCTGAACACTTTGTTGTGTTCCTGTCTTTGCCGCATCATATGCTTTGAATATCCCACTGCCCACTGGGATGCCTTTATTGACGAGTGCGTATCGGCCATTGTGTCAGTAGACGCCACAGAGCAGCGGGCGGGGTGCGGGTTCGTGCAACGTACAATTCTCCTGCGGTTGGCGGAGAATTGTGCTGCCAAAGCCGCACTGTGGTGGCGTCTGGCGTCTGGCGTGGTCCGCCGTTTGTTGGAGTGGGCTGCAGTTTATGGAAGAGGAGGGGAGCCACGAGTGCTGTGCCTTCGTGTCGTGCTTCACTTAATGCGGCGGCGTCCACGGCCGAGTGAAGTTGCTGAGGCGGAGCGTCCGACAAGTTCTTTTATCTTTTCCGATGAATTTCGTGGCGTAGTTAGTCGTAGCCTGGAGGAGGGAGCGAGCGCCTTTGAATCCAGGGGGCCCTGCACGCTACTTTTGGAGGAGTGTGGCCTCCTCTTGGACGTCGCACAACACTTGCTCGGCGACGACGCGTTTGCACGTGTTGTGTTTCGTTGCAGCATTTGCTTACTTTCGTCATGCGAAGCTGCATACCTCGCAGGGATCGGAGAAAGCTCTTCGCTTGTCTCGTGTGTGGATAACGCGTTTGAATGCCTCGTTGGTGTACTGCAGACGTATCCGGAGGCGTCATTACTGTGCGACAACGAAATGTTTCTGTTAACGCTTTTCAGTTACATGACACGCGCTGTTGGACTTGAGCATGACGATGAGTCGGGTTTGCTGGACGCATTGCAGGAGGACTGTGTTGTGCCGTTGGGGTGCGCTGGCGGTGACACAGCCGCAAACGCGGGTGCCGTGCTGGAGCTTCTTATGGAGGCGAACCCGCACTTATTGGGTCTCGCGGTGGGATCTCTCTGCGCCACAGTTACTGAGCTTTGCCAGGGGACCACCTCGGCGCACTGGCGGGCGTGGACAACTGCCCTTCGTTGCTGCTGCCGTGTGTATGACGAGAAGGGTTTGTCGCTCACTGACAGCCTTCCAGATGCTGCTGGGCGTCTGTTGTCACCCCTTGCGTTACTTCTCAGGCAGGCCACTGACCCCTTGGAGGCTGCGGAGCTGATTGAGTTGCTTGCCTTGTGCGTTGTGCGGGCGGAGCAGGAGCCTGTCTGCCGCGTTTTTTTGTCCATCCTTGAAGCCACCTTTGATGGCGTTGGCGATAATGGCACACGGGATCAGTTGCTTCTTCTTGCAGTGACCGTGTACGCCGTGCATCGATTTTTTTTGACGTGTGCCTCGTCGCTTGTACCCGGGAACTTGTGTGACGCGTCGGTGTGGTTGCGGCGTGCACTTGCCGTAATCTCACGCGGAGGCCCACTCGCCGTGTACTGCGGCGCCCACGCTGTACAGACGCTTCTGCACGCCACTCCAAATTGCACGCTCCCATCAACGCCGTTGGTGCTCGCCGCGCTAGACAATGCGTGCCGTCAGTGCAATGTACCGAATGCATCCTCGCTTCTTGCTGGGCTTGTGTGGTCGCTTTGCTGTCATACCCCGGGGGAGTGCGATGTCGCCGTGGAGCTGCTACAAATTGTCTTGTCGCATTGCCTTCACAATGGACCGCATCGCGCAGAGTTGCGGCGCTGTCTGACGGAGTATCTATGGCGTTTTTTAAGGTCTGTCTTGAGGCAAACGACATGCCTTCAGTGTGTTGCGACTGTGCTGCACAAGTGCCTTCCCATCGTTTTGCAGTTTGCCGTAGAAGATGCACCACATGACGATGCGACGGCGCGTCTTGTGTCAAGTTGCCTGGCGGCAGCGGCATCTTGCGATGACGCGGGGATCATGTATGAGAACATCAGCTCTGCACTCTGGGAACTCCTCCGTTCTGCGGTGCACGAACGCCACTGCTCTGCGACGCTGACGAAGATTGTGGCAGCGATGAGTGCTACGGCACTTGTTTGGCCGAAGCTCTTGGACAGAGATATAACGGCAGTGGTGTCGCTTCTCTTCAGCAGCGTCGATACAGCTGGGGCGAGGGGGCTCAATTATGTGGGATGCTGCCTCCTGCCAGCACTTTTTTGTGTTCGCCACCCAGAGCAGCTGGAACACATGACTGCCGTGTTTGCCGCGACACCTCTGCACAAAAATTTGGCGTGGGGGACGATGTTTGGCCTTTGGAGCTCCGTCGCCCCTCTCACTGATCATTTTACCACGCTGTACTTTCTGGCGGCGTGGTGTCGCTTGTTACGGTACGCCATGGACACCCGTAGTGAGGGGCGAGACGTTCTGACAGTGGCCGTGCCCCACTGCACGGTGTACTACCTTCCAAGCATGTACGTGAAGTCACTTCCAAAACAACGGGTAGAGCGTTGTAGCATGGCGCAGTGTATTGCTCTTGGCCTTGCGCTGGTGGCGCAGCGAGGACAAAAGTCCGCAAAGGTGAAACTTCTGGAGGAAGAGTTGCTGCATTTGCTCTCATTAAATCGACGATTTGAGGCGCTTGCGTGCTGCAGCGCTGCTGAGGCGAGGATTGACACGTTGTTATCGATGAGCCTCGTAGAGGGCGCCCAATGGCTTCTGGGGATGATGTCGGACGGCGGTTACGGGCTGCAGGTTGACACCGCTATCCACTTTGTGGGTAAATTATAACCGATCAGCTTTATAAATCTTGTACCTGATCACACTGAAGTTGTTGGGCTCGACACTAGTTTTACTGCGCCCTCTTTTTTTCCCCACTTGCTGCTTCTTTTTTTTCCCCCCCACCCCCTTGCCAACCACTCCGCTTTTTCCCCTCTCATTAACAATAACTCCACAACACCTCGGAAGGTGTAGTCCGTAGCGCCACCACAGGAAAAAAAGATGGTTCGCATGCAGGGTGTTGGTCATGGCAAATCTGCCTCGTCACTGCCGTACTGCCGCACGCCTCCGTCTTGGCTGAAGATCGCTAGCCGCGATGTGATTGACGCCGTCTGCAAGCTGGCAAAGAAGGGTCTCCCGCCTAGCCGTATCGGCATGCAGCTGCGTGACTCCATGGGTATTGCCCAGGTGAAGAACGTCACTGGCCGCAAGATTCTTCGCATCCTGAAACACAAGGGTATGGCGCCGGAGATTCCGGAGGATCTCTACTGCCTCATCAAGCGTGCCACGGAGATGCGGAAGCACTTGGAGCGCAACACGAAGGACAGGGACACAAGTTCCGTCTTATTCTGGTCGAGTCCCGTATTCACCGTCTTGCCCGTTACTACAAGCGCGTGAAGCAGCTGCCTCCCACCTGGAAGTATGAGTCCAGCACGGCGTCTGCAATGGTGGCGTAAGGAAAGGCGCACTGTTGTTGCTGTTTTTTTTTCCCCTTATTTCTTCTTTTGTTGATTTATTTATTTCTTCTATCACCGGTTTATTGGCGTGCGCATTTTTTACTTGCGATGCTTTTTGTTTTTGTTTTTTGTCTTTGCGGTGACGCTAACAGTGTTGTACCGCCGTGTTTGCCTTTTTTCCCCCATTTGGTTGTGGGCTCAGTCCGCAGAGGATCGCGAAAAGGAGGGGGTGTCGTTAGCTGCCGAGAGGAAGAAGGCGAGGAAGACCAAACAAACCAGCGCCGCTTTGCTCTCAGTGACGTGCGGCGTATCTGTTGTATCGTGCCCTGGCAAAACAAATAAATATGCGTCGTGCTGGTCTTTTTGCCGTCTGCACGCTTCTCCTCGAAGGACGGCTTAAGCAGCGGGAGCGGCCGCAGCCGACCCCTGGCGCGCCGCTTGATGAGGCGCAGGTGCAGGGCCTCGAGGCGGAGGCGCAGCAGCGTGGCTTCATGCGCCGCGACGGCCCCGACGCAAAGGTGTACATGGAGATGAGCCTCAGTCGGCCGGAGCGCATTAGCGGTGGCGTGCCAGTGGCGAACCTTCCGCCGGTGGAGCGCGAGCCAACGGAGTTTGACGTGTACCAGCGGTCCACGCGTGACTTCACGTCCCAAGTGACGCCGTACGGCACCACCGGCGTGGGACTTGGGGCAGGCTTCGGCGCACGCGAGGACAAGCGTCTTGGGTTTCTGCGGCCGCGCAAGCTGCAGCCCTTCGGCGGCGAGAGCAGCATCGTTCCGAGGTACGATGAAAACGGCATGCCCATTGAGGCGGGACTCACAAAGGAGCAACTGCTGAAGAAGCGCCTGGCATACATGAAGAGCTTTGAGGGAACCACAATGAGTCACCGGGAACACTTTCTCCTTGTCGACCTGGATTTTGAGAGGGACGCGATGCTCTTCGGCAACACGCGCGAGGAGTTTGAGCGGAATGTCACGAAGCTGAAGGAGGTCATTAGCAAGTACACAAGGTGGGAGCGCACCGACAATTTCTACTACTACGGCACGATTTTGTTGAAGGCCCTCACGGCGTGGGTGCTGATGGAATGCCTGCAGCAGCACTACGAACTGAAGCTGCTTGCGGGCCACTATAACGACTTTGTGGGGTCGATGGAGGAGACATTGAACGGACTTGAGGAGAACCTCCAGCGCGATCTGCAGCGGGCGCGGGCTGAGCTGCAGTCTCACCGCCCCGATTTTAAGCCGGTTGTGGAGGCTATTCGACGTGAGAAGCGCCGCCTGCTTGATGCTGAGGCAGCACATGTGGCGGGGTTGCAAGCCTCTACAATAAACAACAACAACGACGTCAACGGCAGGAGTTCTGTGCCTGGCGAAGATGCTTTTGCCGCTGGGATTGAGGTGACCCTGGAGACAAACGGGGTGAGGAACAAAGGGGGACAGCAGTTCCCTTCCCCTGCACCGCAGCAGGCGCAAACACAGGAGCACTCGCCATTGGTGTCCTCGACAACACATGACAGTGTCAAGGGCCACCACCCGATGGACACGATGCACGAAGAGCTTTATTTGTCTACCCTACAAGGACAAGAGACACAGCACGAGATGCGGCGTTTGCAGGAGGCCGCAGCGAGCAGCCGGGCATCCTACAGTGTATTTGGCGCGCTTTGGAGGAAGATACGTGGGGGTGGTGGTGATTGTGCGCTCGTGACGCCTCTGCAACAAGAGGACTTTGCTCGTCTCTCATACGCGGCAAGCCCCACGAGTATTGAAACGCTGCGTGCCATACGCCGCATTCTTCTGCCACGAAGCGAAGACCACATTCAGGTGGTGCGGGAGGAGATGCTGGAGTACAAGCGGCAGAAGGAATCCAAACTTGTCCACCCCGAGTAAGAAACCCTCTCTGTTACGCGTTTTTTTTTTTCCTCACACGTTGTCGCTGATCTTTTTTTTTTATTGCTTTTGACACAGCGACGCCACGCATGCGTGCGTGCGGCTCTGCGTAAGCCACGAGCTCTGGCGCTTGTTTCAGGCTCATTGGGGTATGTAAGTGTTATTATTATTAGTTTCCTTTTATTTTTTTCTTTTTCTATTTTTCTGCTGCAGTCCGTATATCTTGTCATCAAAGGCCGCATATTACGTGTATGTGGTCAGCTTGCTTCCTCCTTGCGATTGCATGAGTACACGAGGTTTTGTACTCATATAAAATTTGGCGAAAAAGGAGTTTGCATCCCTGTGCGTGTAATGAGTCATTCGATGGAGGAGCTTCCGGCGATTCCGTCAATTCTTTTGCAGACGTTTCCCCTGGAGGCATATCTACGGAGCTTGTGCAACAAACTGACCGACAATATAAATGCCCTGCACTGCTCCGTAGTCGGACTGCAAGGGGAAGTGAAGTCGTGCAGCACAATGGTTACTGATATACGCCAGTTTTTGCGGCAACAGGCTCTGTTAGAAC